ATCGAACCGAACTTTGAAATTCCGGTTATAATCGCATGAAATTGGTCACTAACCCAGCAATGCCTATGGCATTTTTACTTGTAAGAAGAAAGAATGGCTCTCCGTTAGAGCCGTTTCGGAGGGCTGGTTGATGCGCTATTTTCAGTACGTAAAATGCAAAAAATCGAACAAAATAACTGATGCCTTGCTGAACTAGCCGGCCTTGAGGTGATCGATTTTTCCTTCCCTCGTCGCCTTGGTCTTTTGATGGAGGTTTTCCGGGCGTGACGGCCAGTGGCATGATGAGTCATCACCTAGATGTTTACCCTTAGCTAATCGCAATGAAGTTCATGAAGGCCCTCCTACATTTGAAGAAAACGGGCCGCGCAAATGAGGAAGTACATGCTGTGACTACCTCGTGCTACAGTTCAGTCTGCATCTAGTTAAAAGTCATTTTGCTCATCGATGCGCTGACGGCCCAAACTTACATACCGGAGTGGGAATTATCGCAATGCTATTCTATTACCTAATGCACGACAAAGTTTCATTTAACTCTTACCCAGATTTCACATAACCTAACCAAGATCTCCTTTCGTTCATTTTTTAAAGGAAACTGATGATTCGATATCCGTCACAGACCAGTGAGAAACAGTAACACATCTTCTGGATGGTTTTTAGGGGGCAGGTACTCTTGACTTTTTACGATTTAAACTATAATGCCCTCCTTGGTTGAGCGAGTCCAAACGACAGCCAATTGGAGAGCATTTTCCCTTCCTTTTCTGGAATTGATAAGATCCTGTGGACCTCGCATTCCCATTTTGTTTTAAGACCCAAAGTTTAAATACGATAAGGATAACTAAGACGACATTGCAGCTTAATGTGGGAAATAAAGAAGAAATATTACAAACAGCAGTAAAGCTGTCGTTCTCGACAGGCGCAGGCAAATCCGAGGTTTTAACGCCAGTATATTGCAATGTTTAGCAGGCTTGTATGTACGAAACTTCTACTAGATAGGCATCAGACTGGGAAGTCCAAACGATAAGGAACATTTCAATTTTGCTCCTACGAGTAGGATATATCTATAAAGTCTACTCCCGCGTCATATTACACATTTCTGGTCACTGTAGCTAACCGAACAAGAAGATTTGGTTTTAGAGTGCTGGTCCTTGTCCTAGATGCGGGATCTTCAATTTGAGTCGTCATTTCCCCTCCCTCTAGTTGCATGCAATTTTTTATTTACACGTTGGTTGGCCTACTTCGCCCAGTATAAACCGATTTTTACCCCTCTTGGTTTATTTGAAACACAACTAGATCATGAGAGCACAAGGTCACAACGCGAGCGGTATTTTGAAAGCAGTCCAATCTGTCATATATTCGACGACTCTCACTAGGACATTTACCCAGAATGTCGAAAACTGCAGTCATTCGCGATTGTGAATTACTTTTGATATCCGCTTGTTGTGAGCTTGTGCACCTAATTTTATTCTTTGAGAAAAGAGAACGTTTTTGCCGAAAATTTTGGAAGCATATCTTCAGAGTAAAGCAT